TGTCTCCATAACTCCCATGCATATTGACTTAGTTTAGGATCTGGTCAGCACGGACGAGTTAGGCCGAAGGGTCTGTTTCCATGCTGTATAACTTGGGTGAGGAGCAGCGACTGCTGTAACACTGCCCTACTCAATAATCAACACCTGCACAGCAAGATCCCACGATGAGATGAGGGTTCAGTCCACCTGGTTTCGCCTTCCCTCTCTGGCTGCAGTGCTTTGATGGAGGATCCCTGGGCACTGCTTCCCAGTGAATTGTGGGGGTTGCTAGCTCAGGCAGACATGGATCCCCATCGATGTGAAGCACTGCAGCCTGAGAAAGCTTCGAGATCTACACACTGCTCCGATTCAGGCCGCTGCGAGTGATTTCCATCATCACCCCAGGTCCCTAGGCCCGGTGAAAAACCCCTGCTGAGACCTCTCTTCCTTTCCTCATTTATAAGGCCCTACACCTCCTTACTACATGTTTGACCACCTGTTGTAACATCTCTCTACAATGGCTCCATGTCCAATTTTGAGAAAATACGACACTGGAGCAGAAGTAGGCCATTCAGCCCATCGAGTCAGCTCCACCATTCATGGCTAATCTGATCATGCTCAACCCCACTTTCCTGCCTTTTCCTCTTGACCTGTGATTCCTTCGGACAAATTAAACCATTTATTACTGTTTTACAACGTTGTGTCACTATTTTATAACCAAAGTACATACTTAGATCCTGTTCACACAATTTTGTTTGGTAGCTGTTCCTGTGAATCACTTTGAGATGGTCTAATAGATTAAAGTTGCTCGATTAACGAAGGTTACATTCAGATGGTATTGATGTTTCTTTTGAAAGCCAGCTCCTGCAGCAAAGCAGCACCCCCCCACAGTGTGGGTCAAACGCTGTTTCCTCATGAATTAATCCTGGCTATGGGGAATGAAACTGAGCTAAACACATGCCCCCCAAGTTCAAGTTCAACAGAACTCATTTTTCCTGTTTGGGATTCTCGTGGGTCAGGGTCGTGGAATCCCTACTGAGCAGAAGCAGGCCATTTGGCCCATCGAGTCCACACTGACCCTCTGAAGAGTATTCCACCCAGACCCACCTCCCATCCCACCCCAACAAACCTGCATTCCCCATGGCTAACATACTTAGCCTGCACATCCGTAGACACTATGGGCAGTTTAGCATAGCCAATCCACACTAACCCACCCACATCTTTGGAGGAAACCAGCGCAAACCCACATATACAGTCACCGAAGGTTGGAATTGAACCCAGGTCCCTAGGCCCTGTGAGGCAGCAGTGCTAACCACCGAGCCACTGTGTCACACATTGAGCTGGGGGGGTGGGGGGAAGGTAAAAATCATATCTCCGACCTGAAGCACACTGTCCAAATGCTGAAAAGAGCCATTAGGAAGGAAAGTAGGAATTAGGGGAGGTTATCTAGGCTCTTGAGCCTTTTCCACCATTAGACTGAGGTAAGGGCTCACCTCTCCTAACTCTATTCACTGCCTCGCTCCCACATTCAGAATACCGTACCAAACAAAACTCCACAGATTCAAAAGCAAAACCCTGCAGCTACAGGAAATCTGAAATACGAAGATGGTGGAAATCCCCAGCAGGTTACCGGCTGTGGGTAAATGACCTCCCATCAGGATTTTTAACTCTCACTGTTGGAGCCCCCAGCATCAGCTGTTGACTGTGTTAGAAATGCAGCTCCCTTTCCCAAACAGATTGGTAGCTGAAGCTTGTTGACATTTTATAAACGAGCAGAGTTCTTGTCCCCTCCCACTCCATTTTGGTCAAACCCCCTCCCTCTATCCTTAACTGTTCCCTCACCTTCCCTCTGGGGGAAGGCGATGGCCTAGTGGCATTATCACTGGACTGTTAATCTAGAGACCCAGGTAACATCCTGGGGATAGTAGGAACTGCAGATGCTGGAGAATCCGAGACAACAAGGTGCAGGGCTGGATGAACACAGCAGGCCAAGCAGCATCATAGTCCGCTCCTGTGATGCTGCTTGGCCTGCTGTGTTCATCCAGCTCTACACCTTGTTGTCTCTAACATTATGGGGACCTGAGTTCGCATCCTGCCACGGTAGATGGTGGAATTAAGAATCTAACGATGACTGTGAACCCATTGTCGATTGTCAGGAAATGCCCTTTCGGGAAGGAAATTGTCATCCTTACCTGGTCTGGCCTACATGTGACTCCAGACCCCCACAGCAATGTGATTGACTCTGAATTACCGTCTGGGCAATAAATGCTGGCCTGGTCAGTGACACCCTCACCTTGTTAATGAATAAAGGAGGGGAATAAAAAAGCTTTGGGTGATATTGCACTGCCTTTGTGCAAGCTTCACATATAAATCAGTGAATTTGAAACACTGGGTGGTGCAATGATGTGTTAATAACACCCTATACATTAAAAACAGAGCTGAGTTCTCCCTCTCTTCTGAGACTATGTTCATGCCCAAGTGCCCTTGGTCAGGGAGCACATGGTGCCCATGAATAGTCTCAATCTCTTTAGAGAGAGGTGGGCACTGCAGGGGTGGGGTTGGGTACACTATAATCCCCCACAACCCCATTTCAATATAGGCCCCTCCATCATTTCCCCTCCCTTTCTGCTTTTCCTGGTGGGCTAATTGTTATTTGTTCAATAAACTAATTAGGTGATTTGATGGCAGTATTATTTTAGAAAATAATAGAGCCAAGTTCTCTGTTCTCCTGGGGACCTGAGCTGGAAAGGATAGCAGGTAGAACTGACTGACAGAAGGTTAATATGGTTCACAGCCTGACTATTTACTCCGTGACGCTGCAGAGTCCATGGACAATATCGACACAGGGTGCAGGAATTTGCAGCCCCTGTTCAATTAATTGAAAAAAAATCTTTGATTATCTCTTAGCTTGCACTTTGCAGCCCTGTGCTCCTGGGACAGAGAGGGGCAGGCAGGTTGGGGGGGTACCCACCCATAGGGCTGGCAAAAGGCCTATCAATAGGCCTAAGCAAGGGGACGTGGACCCATCTGCCTGCATCTCTTTCGTGGCCAGGTTTGCACCCGGGTGTCCTTAGGGAGAAAATATACAAGTTCTTTGAGATTGGTGGTGGGCACTGCATCTACCTTAGTCTTCCCTCTGGGTTATCGTTAGAATTCCCCCAGTGGGTCATTCTTGTTTGTAACTGGATTTATTTATAAACAGTACTGGGGTCCATCCCCCTCCTGAATAGGGGTTGGCTTCAGGACAGGGATAGGATCCACGGGGGAAAGGGAGGAAGCTGGTGTTTGGGCTAATTTAAATCTCTGTGAGTCTGTTCCTGCCCGATTTAATGCGCGGACATTGGAGCATGAAACAACTTTATGGAGAAAATTCCAGATTTCCACTCATCGTTGTGTGACAAAGTGCTTGGCTTGTACTGTCTTCTTGTTCGAGACTCCCTCATGACAGGAAATCACTTCTCTCGATTTACCCTACTGCTTTGTAATCATTTCAAACCTGTAATTACATCACCCTCTAATTTTCTGGACTGGAATCCTGTCCATTGAAAAATCTCTATAATTTAACCCGTTACCTGCAGTAATGTTCTGCTAAATCGGCACAAAACCACCTGATGGGGCACATTACCGTCATCCTAAACCTTAATACTCCCTCAAACCCCCTCCCCACCGTGCTCCAAATGTCAGCCTTCATGGTCTGCGGCACCACCCCCCCCGGCCCCACTAACAACACCCCCCACCCCACAACCACTTTTCCCAGCCCGGTAACCCTTGTGATGTTGCCTTAAAAACAAACTCCCATAAGACACCTGAGTAACAGCGTAGCCCATTTGGCCCATTGAATCCCTACAGTGTGGGAAGAGGCCGTTAGGCCCATTGAGTCTGCACTGACCCTCCGAAGATCATCCCACCCTGACCCATCCCCCTACTCTACCCCTATAACCCTGCATTTCCCACGGCTAACCCACCCTAACCTACACATCCTGGACACTACGGACAATTTAGCACGGCCAATAAGATAAACCTTCTGATAATTCATCATGGCTGATCTTTTCATGGCCTCAGCTCCACTTACCCACCCTGTCAACATAACCCTTAATTCCTTCACTGTTCAGAAAGTTATCTCTCTTAGCTTTAAATACATTCAATGTGGAAGCCTCAACTGCTTCACTGGGCAGAGAATTCCACAGATTT